CTGCTTGGCCTGCTGTGTTCATCCAGCTCTACACCTTGTTATCTCAGGTTCTCCAGCATCTGCAGTTCCTACTATCTCCTCTCAAGTGCTGCCAGTCACGTGGAGTATCAGCAATCACAGAATCATCCCTACTGTCTGCTCGGTGCATCCACACTTGCGCAGCAGTGGTTAAAAACACGCGGAGCTGAATTCTCTTCAGAGCTTGTTATGGCAACATATATTGTTGGAATGCTGTATTGTATTGTGAGTATAATGTATAAAACTTGCTACACTGCTGCTTGTCCATAATAAGAGGAAGTACTGCACTGTCAGGGATGCCCAACTTTTGAGTGAGCTGTGGAAGATAATGTGACAGTACTTTGGGCAAGAGAAGGGGCGTTATCATTGGTCTTCTGGTCAATATAACTCCTCAGCCAACAAGAAGAAAAAGGAGACTGTGCAAATTCCTACAACGTGACAGTGACCATATAGCAATAGAAGTACATCATTGCCTGAAAAGTGCTTTGCGACATCTTGAGGTTATTACAGGCACTATATAAATACAAGACTTTTTGCGTCCTATTGCAACACTGTAGAATGTACTTTCAATCCTCAATGCATCAGCAGATGTTTCATTGTCAGACAATCTCTGAGGGAATTTCACATCAAGGTCTCATGCACAAAGTGTTAAGCAGATTGTAGCAATTCTCCAGATGATTGTGGAATGGACCTATCATGAATCAACAGAAAGCTTCTTCTATACAATTCATAGATGACAGATTTTGATGCAGAAATAAAAGTATATATTTATAAAATGAAAAGGCAAAGTGTTATTGAAGCATTTTCCACAGCTCTCTACCAAAATCCCAGCAAACTACCAACCTAAAATGAAACTATTGCCCAAGTAGGAACTCTCTAATAAATGTAGCCTTGAAGGGAACTCAGACAAAAAATATTTCTCTTAAGGGGTTTAAATTACATCGCAGTTCATCACAGAAAATAGTTCCAACAATGACAGAGCTTCTGTCAATTCAACAGCGTGCATGTATATAGCAAACTTAACATTGAAAAGTGTCCCAAGATTCTTCAAAGTAGTAAAACAAAAGGATGGTGAGCCAGCAAAGTGAGATATTAAAACAAAAAAAAGACAAAAGCTTGGTAATTTATGCGATTTAGGAGGGTCTTTAAACTATAGAAAGAAATGGATTTAGGGAATGAAAAAAATCCAGACCACAGACCAGAACTGGCCA